AGACTCAGTTTATCAACATCACTTCAAGTATTTTAATCAAAGAAAGTGTCCAATAAATGGGGGGAAGGATTGCAGTTTAAAGCTACCTTGTATGACAGCAACTCTGCCAGAATCTCTTTGACAAATAGACTCTCGATTTAATTTGAAAATCTGTGTTGTGTGGTGTATTGCTGTTAGCTAACAAAGGGGTTGTTTTGTTCATAGAGTGGATAATACTTGATGAATCCAACAAAAAGAGAAATAAATATTTTTGCCACCAACCGTATAAGGGTTTTGTTTATCCCAAATGAAAATTCTAATAGGTCTTGTTGCCACCAAGGTGGTTGTTTTCTCTTCCAAATATAAGATGAAGATCTTTCTGAAAACTAAGTATGCCAAGTTGAGACCCAGAACTTGTTGTCATAATGTGAAATCACTGAGCTGATACTTCTTCAAGGTAGGCAGAAGTGGTACCTAAGGCGTATTTCAAAAGCAGCTGGGATGTCAAAGGCTATTAAGATGGAATCATTTCTTTAGATCCCCATGACCATTTCTGTTGATTTTCTTCTTTTTCTCAGTTTACCCTTTGCTGAGAGTGATCTGAGCCTCTATAAAAGTCAGATGAGTCTGTCAGAGTGGAGATGCCTCCATGCTCTGGAGGACTTGGCATCATTATCTCTGGCCATTGACTCAGGCCTGCTCCCCAGCCCCCGCCTCTCATAGGTTCAGGGCACCCCACCTTCCTTCCTTCTTACATCTACACACACTCAACCTTGCCGGGTTCACCCCCTTCCCCACTGTGCAGCCAGAGTTGTTTCCTAAAACTCAAATCTGATCACAGGGACTCCTGCTTAAAACCCTACTGCTCCTGGGGACTACGTCCAAATGGCCTAACACAGTGTTCCAGCCCCATCCTCCCCTGACCCCTGCTGTCATCCAGCCTCTTTTCCCACTATCTCCCTACAGGCTCCTGTGCAGCATCCAGTCAGAACTATTTTAGTTTCCCAAACTTATCACTCACTCCTGTATTCATTCAACAAATATTTATGGAGTGCTTAACACATGTCAGGTGCTGGGAATACAGAAGATAAACAAAAACAAAAAAAATCCAAGCTTCCTCCTAGGGAAACAGAAAATAAACAACAATAAAACAGAGAAGGATGATATCGAGTGTCCCCCTTACTCTTCCTTCTACCTAGTTTAATCAAATGTATCATCGTATAGTATACTACTATAGTGTGTATTTTGCTCGGGTATAATGTATAATACAGTACATTGCCTAGTACTCTCTGACTCCTAACGCGTTCATCTTTTTGGTCGCAACTTGCCGGTATCTTCCTCTTGAAGCCTCTTTTTTCTCTAAAATCGCACCTTACATTTGTCTCCTTTATGATTTCACAATCCTCTATTCCTTCCCTTATCACAGAACTTATCAGTCTAAACACCATTGTCTGCAGTGAATATTTAAAAACAACTTTTGCAAATTCTTATGTCCTTACTAAGAGCACACCATGCAGAATTCGTGGAAGTGACTTTAAAATTCATTATAATGATGTCTTTTGCATCTCGGAATTGACAAATGCTACCAGATACAGGTTATTTCTGGAGTCATTTACCCGGTCTGGGTTGTCTGAATGAGTAGGGGAAAAGAGCCAATTGCTTTCATATTTAAAATTCTCTTTGACATTGCCCTAAGTATGAGGATTTCACAACAGAAAATCCCAAATCTGACTTTTACCAGATATTGACCAAAAATTCAAATAGGACTCTTTTTCTTTTAATGTTTCTTTGAACTTTTGCAGCTATGAAACTTTGGGGTTTGGGAAACTAATTACTCAGTATCCATTCAACAAATATTTACTTATTCAGGTGGCACTGTGCCACAGACTGTGGCACAAAGATGAATAGGTATGCCCTGCTCTCAATAGCAGTCATGGATGGCAGCCATTTTCAAATAGGGCATGTGTGTCCATGGGGACACATGAAGACTTTCCAACAGGTACACAGGCCTGAATAGTATCAACAGAATCCATTTTCAAGCCCTTCAACTGACCTGCCTGGAATGTGCTTACAGAACAGCAACCTCAATTCTGCCTTTTCTCACCTATCACCATCACCCTGTTCCTACTTTACAGAAGAAAGACATCCCTCTTACCCCTTACAAATCATACTGCAGGTTGTCCCTGCTACAAAAACTCCAAAGAAATCACTAGAAATATTGAAATTCTTCTATAATTGAGATAACCTAACATCCCTATCCATTTCATAAATTTTTAACATTACCAATTCATTTTTATTCTTAAGCACAGTAATTTTTTCCAAATTTCCTTATGTATATGCTTTGGTCAATTAGTTACAGATAATAATTACATGATAAATTCAAGCTCAAAAAATATTCAATGCTTAGAGCCTGATGTTAGGAAAATCCCTTGCATTAAAATTTCAGTCAGACAGGAGGACTGCGAGTTCAAAGCCAGCCTCAGCAATTTAACAAGGCCAAAAGCAACTCAGTGGAGACCCTGTCTCTAAATAAAATACAAAATAGGGCTAGAGATATGACTCAGTGGTTGAATGCCCCTGAGTTCAATCACTGGTACCCCCCCCCAAAAAAAAATTCAATTTAAATACTTATTTCCATTGCAGAAAAATATGACAGGGAAAAAATAAAAGATTTTCACACATCAAAAATATTTCATTAAAATAGAATAATTAAATTAGAATTAATTCATTAAATTAGAATAATTTTCTATGGGGAAATGGAATGAAAATATAATTTCTAGGGTCAGGTTGTAGCTCAGTAGTAGTGCATGTGCCTAGTAAGTGCAAGGCCCTAAGTTCAATCACTAGCACCAAAAGAAAAGAAAATGTAAATTCTACAGAATTGACTTAAAATTCTTTAAAAATTGATTTAAAAATAGATTACTTTGTGTTTTTTCCAAGGAGAGAGAAATTGGCATTAAATGCTATTGGTATTTAAGTTTCTCTTAAATATATAGTATATATCTTGATGACTTTCAATTTTAGATATTCTGAAAAGTGTGTAGGAAACCACATCTCATTGCAGGCATTCATCAGCTTATACATTTCTGGCTTCTGGAATCCTAGATGTTGGAGCACAGAGGAGATTCTTGGGGACAACAAGGTCCTGTGCAGAGCTTAAGTCTCAAGTCTGTCTGACCTGGGTTAAAGCCACTCTCTAGTCCCTCCTGAGCAGTGTGGCCCCTTTGGGAAATCAAAATTTTTATCATCTATTTAAACAACAGCAGAGGGTTTTTGTTTTCTTACTCTCTGGAAGTCACTGCCCAAGACACTCTTTTTTGTATAAAAACTCTTCCACAAAATAATGTATTTACAGTCACAAACTCGGCTGTCTTTTATTCTATCTCAGGTTCCAAGCCTATTCAATTTCCTTCCATTTTCTTGGTGCTCTTCTCCAAATTTGGTCTCACCAGCAAATTTCCCAAGGATCTTTGTACTCTGCCTCCAGGAAGAATATTAATGAAGATGTTAAGTCAGGCTGGCATAATAAAATTGCTTAGAGAATCCTCCAGACAGTTTTGTTCCACCCAACAGACATAGTATCATTTATCATTAGGTCCTGTTACAGTTTTCTGACCCCTTGAAAAACTCACATGAGGTCACTTGTGTCCACATCTACTTGAATTAGTCTTGCAAGTGAACTCATGAGCTACTGAATTAAATGTCACTGCAGGATTGAACATCTGTTACATCACACTAACCTATCACATTCTGTGCCCATAAATCTTTACAATCAAAACAAATTAGTCTAGCATGTTATTTCTAACAAACTTTCTCTTTTGTTGTGTATGGCTCATGCCCAAAAGGAGATAATAAACCAATGGATGAAAGTAATAAAATTTCATCACTGGTTCAAACATGGTCAAGTGGTGAGCAAAGAATAATGACTCTTTAGCAATGAAAGAAATGAATAGCAATTTAACACAGATGGGGATGTAGCTCAATGGTAAGCCCTGGGTTTGATCCCCAACACTTAAAGAGAGAGAGAGAGAGAACAGACTATATAGAGGGTAGGTATACCCCTCTTGAAACAAGACAGAAAATTAATAAACAATTAAGGAAATAAAGCAAACGATTGCCTGGGATTGAGAAGGGTTCTATCCTGTGTGCGTGAAGTCAGCAGAAGTCCATAGTGTTTGATAATTAGAACAAAGCATAATGGGTTGTAAGATTCCATCATTATTTAAATGGTTAATCAAATGTTCAGGTGACAAGCATATTTATTTTAAAAAATAAGGTCAAAGGAAATATTGAACACAGTAGAGACTCCCACAAAGTAAGAAATATTAAGACATTTGAACAAGAGAGCAATTGTGGACTCCAACCCTGGAATCTACATTTGGGCTAAAGGCCAGTATTCTGGTCATGAAGGTTATTGTCAGAGCTGTCTTCGTGACAGTGGTTCTCAAACTTTAATATACATAAGAACTAACCCACCACTGCTGAGTCAAAACACTATTGACTGGGACTCTTAATGTGTCACCAGTTGCCCTGATGGTTCAGACTCAGCAGGTTGTTATCAATGTGTGAGTCAATGGTCAGGGCAGGGGATTAAACCAGCAGCTGGGAGACCTGCCTCTGATCAGTTGGTAGAATAAACTTGGATTATGTTCTGACTGTAGAGCCTCTGGTTTCCATTGTTCCCTGTTTTGAACTGCTTCACTTTCTCTCTTCTGCAGTTGGTGTTGCTTGGCAGAGCTCTTGAAAGCAGGGCAGAGATAAAAGTGAATGAGGCCAGGAATTGAGCCTCATTCAGCCCTGCAGTGGAGGGTCCCCAGGCCCTGCCACTTTCCCACCGTCATCTAGCCTGGGACAGGCCTTGTGGTGGATATCCTTTGCGCCTCTTTTCTGGTCTGCCTCTGTGTGGTATCAGACACCAACTGGCCGGAGGGAAGATGCTAGCCTCCGGGCAGCTGTGTTTAGGTGAAAGATCAGTATCTGGTTTCTCCCTCATTTATAGCTTTTGTTTTCTTTCTTTCTAGAATATGTCTGTGCTGGAGAATCACCACTGGCGATCTACAATTGGCATGCTTCGAGAATCAAGGCTTCTTGCTCACTTGCCAAAGGAAATGACGTAAGTGCTCTGAGATGAAACAGACTGATGTGTACAAGTAAAGATAAGGTGTTCTCTAGGGCGTGCTTGGGACCCCCTGCGTGAGTGGCTGGGAGCCAGCCGCTGTGCTTCCTGCCTGCTCTTGCTTGTCTATCTGAGCAGATTTGGTGTCAGTTACTGCAACCCAGAAACCAGAATCTCTCTGGGTGCTTTGAAAGGGCTTTGGATGGTCTCTGACCCAAAGTCAGGAAAAAGGATAATAAACAACTCTCGGCTTTCACACTTTTCAGCATCAATGCTCTGCTTTGCCAAATTCCTGTCCTTTATGTTAGTAAAATTGTCCTCCCATTTAGAATCAAAGAATAAATATTTGTCAAGAAGGAACATAGAAATTCTCTGGCTAGATTTAGGACTGGTTGACTAAAGTGTGTTTTGTAATTGCCAGTCTTAGCAGAAATAGTAATTAGAAATTCTTTTCTAAAATGTCTTTTGTTAAGTAATTGAATTGGGCCCAGCAATTTTGTCACGATTAATTTGTCTAATGAATCTTGCATTTTAAACAGAAGAGGAAATTCTAGTTTCCTGGTCTACTGTTCATTAGACCCAGTATGTAGGCCGGATCGTACCAAGTCCAAGGCCACTGCTTCATTTTCCTCAGGGACCCAAACTAGCAGCTATCCTGTGTTCCAAGGCCATCACTAATTCTGATCTATTTAATGAAAATATGCAGAACCTGAGGAAATTAGGTGAGTGGCAAAAATAGATCACTGTACCCTTCTTAATGACAAGCACATAACTTAGGGTCAAGGACCAAGTGGCATTTCCCCATAGGACTAGCAGCCTGCTATGCGTTGGAGGTTTATTCCTGGCCCTCTGATACTATCTCATGCTGTTTCCTCCAACCCAGAGGAATGTGGAGCTTACAGTAGGAACTTTGGCCTTGATGACTTTTTACCCCCTGGAACTAAATAAAACCAGTCCTCGTACATGGTATAAAAACATGTGCCTTTTACTAGAATAATAAATCGTAAATACAAAGAACTAAATTCCAAAAGAACTAAAAATTTGAGCAAGAAATCAAACAAGAAAAAGAAAAGGAGGAAAGATGGGGATGAGTGGGAGGGACAAGTAAAGAAAAAAAAAGGAGAAAAGTGAAGATAGAAAAGAAAGAAAGGGAAAAGTAAGAGAGGGAAGGACGCAGGGTGACCAGCCTTGTCCCCAGTAATGCCCGCATTAATCCTGCTTGGTGCTCAATTAGTATTCATTTGCTGAGGTACTCCTACTCATCTCTATGAAATCCAAATAAAAATACCATATTCATATGTCTTTGTGAGATACTTGTCATAAATGCTTTTGTTAGAAGAATAAATGCTATGCAATGATTTATGTGAAAAGAACTCAAAACAAAAGTCATCACCATAATCATTATTATTATTCCTATCCTCGTGCAAATCATTTTCTGATTTTTAAAAGCAAGACAGTAACTGTAGAGATTAAGGAAAGTTGAGAAAAGTATTGGTTTGAACCATATGAAGTGGCTGAAAGTCAAAAGCAGAATATTGGTGGTTTCATAAGGTTTAACCTGTTAAAAAGAAAATTGAAATGACTTATAATCCTGACATCTGGAAATCATTAATGTTATCCTGGCTAGTATATATCCCTTTACTCTTTTTTCAGTACAGCCATATTTTAAGAAAATGGGGGACTTATTTTAAAGTTTATGTCCTGATATTTTTCACTTATGATAAAGACATAATTAAGTCTGTTAAAGTAAAATCATTTTATTGGCTACTGGCCAAAATAGTGCCCAAAAGGCTGTAACTACAGATTAGTGTTTGAAATTTATATGGTTTTTAACTTTTTTGTATGAATATTCATCATGCATTCTTAAACAAATTATTTTCTCAGAAATATTTGTACATAGAAATTATTGGCCAGAAAGGTCTAAATTTTTAAGATTCCTGTTGCATATCACCAAATTGTTTTTTCAAAAAGTTATATCTACCAGTATTTCCATTAGTGAGTTATAAGAAAATCTATCAATGTGCCATCATAAAACTTCATATTTATCTTTATTATATTTTTATGTATTTGAAAATCTGATATACCCTTATGAGTATATATGATATATGGAGGGGGAATAAAGAGATGTAGAGAGACAGAGAGAAGGAGATTCATTTGATTTTCATAAATTTAAAAAAATCGTTGTAATTGCACACAATACCTTTATTTTATTTCTTTATTTTTATGTGGTACTGAGTATCAGACCTAGTGCCTCACACACGCTAGGCAAGTGCTCCACCACTGAGCTACAACTGCAATCTCCAGCATAAATCTTTTAGCTAAAATGACATTGACATTTTTCAAGTATTTACTGGCCATTGCTATTTATTTAGAGAACAAATTTTTGTATTTGGTCTTTTTCTATTTTCCCATAAGTATTATTCATTTGTAAGAACTCTTCGTATATTAACTCCAGTAGTCATTTGTTATATGTTGTAAATATTGCTTCAAGGTTTTAGATTATCTTTAAATTTGATTCATAAAACATTTCACATAACTAAAATAGTTATATTTTCCAACTCAAATACTCATATCTCAATTAATAAATACTCATATCTTAAAGAATTTATATAATTTAAAATATAATGAAGAAAATGAAAATAACTCCCACTATACATCTTTCTAGTTTCTTTGCTATGAACACAGAGATCACACCTAATACTATTTGTATCCTGCTTGTTAATATAAAAATAATACATGACATTTGTCCATATTAATAAATAAAGCTGTACATCATATACTTACTAATTGCATAGGATGAGTATACCAGGGCTTATGTAGCTAATCTCCTATTTGATAATTTTAGTGATCTTTTCCTCCCTAAAATGTTTCATTATTAAAAACAATAAGTACCCTTATAACACCTGTCTTTACTGATCACAGTCTCACCAACACATTAATATAAATTTGTAGATGAACTGCTGGTTAAATTATTTCTACCATCAAATGCTTTTAACACTGATTCCTAAATTACCCTCCAGAATTATTGCACTAATTTACACTCTCACAACAGAGCCTGAGAGAGACCATTTTACCCACATCATCAACTGCACTAGGTATTGCAATCATTTGTTAATTTAGCAGATTATTTAGCAGTTACTTTCAACTCTTGCCAATAAAATGGAAGGAATAGTATCACATAGCTATTTTGATTTGCTTTTTGTGATGCTAAGAATATAAACTATCACTTCCTATTTGGGGGCATTTTGTATTTCTTTTATGCACTGCCTGTTTTATATGATTATTCATATTGTTTGGAAATAGGTTAAAGCTGTATGTATAGCTTATTAGAAAACATGAATGAATGGTCTTTGAAAACATGAACAGTGGGATTATAAAGCTTATAAATTATACTGTAGGGAAATTTTTCATCAGAATTTAGAATGATTGGGGCTGGGGTTGTGGCTCAGCGGTAGAGCACTTGCCTAGCATGTGCAAGGCCATGAGTTTGATCCTCAGCACCACATAAAAATAAGTAAATAAAATAGATGCATTGTGCCCAACTACAACTAAATATAAATAAATATTTTAAAAAAGCATTGAGAATGATTTCTTAAATAGGAGAAAGAACTTAATCATAAATAAAAAGAAGTATAGACTAAGCTACTTTAAAATTTAAGACTTTTTTTTTCAATATAGCACATCTTAAAGCAGAAAGACAGGCTACAATATGAGAGAAGATATTTGCAGCATATAATTTTCAAAGGCCCAGTATTTAAAATATATAAGAAATTCTTAGAATCAATAAGAAAAACCAAGACAAGCTAATTGAATAATAGATAAAGATCAGAATAGAAACTTCACAAAAGAGGAAATACAAATGTCCAGTAACTCATGAAAATATGTCCAGTCTCAGTAGTAATCAAGAAAATTTATATTAAAACTAAAGAGTTACTTGACATACTCATCAGATTGCAAAAAACATAAAGGATAATAATGTAGAATAAGGAGAATCTCATCTTTTACTGCTAGGAATGTAAATTTATAAAATCCTTTTGAAAATAATTGGCAATATCTAGGAATGGGGATGTGGCTCAGTGGTAGAGTGTTTGCCTTGATGCTTGAAGCCCTGAGTTTGATCCCCCGTACCACAAATAATAATAATAATAATAATAATAATAATAAGGCAATAGCTAGTAAATCAGAGCTAAATGTACCCTGTAATCCAGTCATTGAATTCCGGATATCTCCAGTTATATAAGTGCTAGAGAAACTTATGCACACGTATAACTGGAGATATATAAGTATGTTTGCCATGGTATTTTTCATAGCTGTCAAGCACTAGAAACAACTCAAATGACCATTAAAATTAGAATAGATAAACACATTGTAGTTTATTCTTACAATGGAATATAATATAATGAACATGGATGAATTTCAAAAGCATCATTTTAAGCTAAAGAAGAAAGACATGAATTGATGCATATCATATAGCTGTAAGTTCAAAAGTGGTTAAAATCATATCATTTAGACATGCATGCACAGGTGGTAAATTATTATAATTAGTATAAAGTCATTAAAGCCAAGATCTAGAGGTGGTAACTCCAGGCATGGAGGGTTAATGTAATGGGAGAGATAACAAAGGGGATACTGGCAGTCATGTTCTTAGCCCGGGTGGTGATTATTACAAGATGTTCACTTTGTATTTATTCATTGAACTCTATATGTATGCTCTATGCACTCCACTTAAAATATATTTCATTTTTAAGGGTGAATTTTAAAAATTGTTATGGATCCCTCTTTTTACCAATTACACTCTACATGTGAAATAAAGCCCTAACTTGCCTATTTTTACAAAATATCCCATTTTTCCTATACCATTTGTTGGTAAACATATCTCTTGCCCACTGGTTTGTAACAATGTCTTAATCACCTTTTCCTTAAGTTCTATTGTATCATTTTGGTCTGTTTTGTGCTGTCACTAGACTTCCCATCCCACAGTGCCAGCCACTGTTACCTTCTTCATTATTATTACTTTTATTTGCCGTTTTCTTCCTCCATGAAAATCTTAATGTTTGAACTAGTTAGAAGTCTCTAGAAGCACAACCCAAACTCCTGTGATTCTGCAAGTCTTTTTGTATCCTCCTTAAAACATGGATTTCTATCTGGCTTTCAATGCTCACCCCCGCAGGAACCCTTGGGGTTATATAAACTTCCACAATTTTGTTCACCTAAGTTTCAATCACTCTGTGCAGGTCTGGCATACCTCCTGTCCAAGGATGGGAGACCAGCTCTTAGGCTGTGAGGAACTGGGACCCTGTGTAATAAACAGAATCAAAGGCAGAAATGAGATTACAAGCCACCTGGTGATGAGGAAATCAATCATTCTCCTCAAAGGGATTTGCTCTCTGTGTGTGTTTTTCTCTTTCATTCTTGTGGATGCAGACAGGATATTGAACAGCAGCTGGGCTCCCTGATCTTGGCAACAGACATCAACAGGCAGAATGAATTTCTGACCCGATTGAAAACTCACCTCCACAATAAAGACTTAAGGCTGGAGGATGCTCACGACAGACACTTTATGCTTCAGGTAAACAATGGCAACAAAAGCCATTAGCCTTGCTCAACAAAAACCCTCAGGGGCATGATCGATAATTTTAACACATTTGAGAAGGGGTTGTCTCACATGGTACAAGTTTGAGTATTGACCTACTTTATTAAAAGTTTTGAGGCGCATGAAATTGTTAAGTGGTTTTCAAGCAAGCAAAATCTTGGTTTCGCATCAGTAAGTCGATAATATCTCACTTTTCCTTGTTCAGTAACTATTTCACCACAAACTAACCTCACTGGAAGGCTGCATGCATGCAGTGTCAAACACTTTTTTTTTCTTTTATTGAGGTTTTGGGGGTCAAACCCAGAAGGGCTTTGCTTGTGCTAGGCAAGTACCCTACCATTGAGCTACACCCCCAGCCCAAGTGTTTCCCTCTTTTTGTGGTTTGGTATAAATTTGACCAGTGTGATATCTGTGCAGTTTAAAAGATTGTTTCTATAACATGAAAGTATATTGTTCATTATAAGTCCATCAAAAATTAAAAAAAAACAAGTAGCTTTTATTTACCTAAAACCTAATTCAATAGGGTTTGCTTTACCTCCTTCACTCCTATTGTAATCTGAGACTTACCATTTTTAGAGTCCAATAAATAATTTATTTTAAGTTGAACTGAATTGAATTGGATCGGGCCCAGTCCCTTCTGCTTTACTCCATGGCAAGAAGTCACTTGCAATGTGAGAGCAAGGAGAAGAGTGGACCTCAGAAGTAGAAGTTTGACCTGGTGTCCAAATGAGAGCCTTCTTGATCTTTCATTTTCTCTTGGCTTCCTTTTTCCCTTTTATCACAAAAGTCTGACTTACAGACCCTGGACTCATCTAGGTAGACCAGATTTAGCCAAGGAGCTGGAGACTTGACTGTTCTTTTTTGGTTTTGGGGTTTTTTTTCAGGCCTCACACCCTGATCCATAGCTATCCAAAGTGGTCCAGTCCTTCCAGGACATGCCCTACACCCAGCTTTAGAATGACCCTCCCTCCTTTCTTTCTTTCCAAACTCATTTTCTGATACCTGAGTGTTCAAAGACGAACACTCAAACAAGGTGTTTGCTTGGAGTGACTCAGCCAAGTTGTGAGTGGTTGAAAGATTGGCCTGAGCAATTTGCATATTTCAGAAGGAAGGCTTGCTGACTCAGATGAATTCCAGAAGGGCAGAACCTGCAGGGAACTTCTGTCCCTGACCTATTCCAGCATCTACTGGTGCCCTCACGAACCAGGAAATAAGTAACCAAACTTTCATCTTAATAAGATCTAAGGTTCTCCTAGACCCAAACATAGCTAGCTGTTTGTGATCCCAGGAATTTGGGTCAAAACTATAGACACTGCTGGTGGACAGGTCTCTTGGCATCAGTCTCTTAGCATTGGTGTTAGAATCTACATGGTAGGAATTCAAGGTAACCCTCCTAGGGTTTTCATCACATTGACCAAAGCACATCACATCCCTGATCCAGACCAAGGAGGCCCCGAGGTAGCTGTGCAAATGCGTCACTCCTAGGTTTGATATGATTTAGTGCCCTGGTAGTAGTCTGAGCTTATATACACACACAGACACAGGCTCATAAATGCAAACACACATAACCTAAGTGATGTATAAAATGGGTCAGCATGAAAACGGGTGACACATGATCTCACTTGAGCCTGGTCAGGGTCCCTGCAGCCTCCCTGCCTGGAAGAGTGGGGCTATAGAAGGAAGGAACCAAGCTATGGCTATCCTTGGCTTGCCCACCCCAGGTCTCTTCCAGGAAGCTCCATGTCCTTGGACTGTGGCTCTTCTCTCCCTCTCACTGCTATAAAGCAGGAGTTCTAAATGAAGGGTTTTGTATAGTTATGAATAAATGCTATTTCCTGAAGCAGCATGTCAGGGAGGCCCTCTGTGAATTGGGGGATAGTACCACTAGGCTGGCTGATGTGACAGCCCTTTGGCTTCAGGTCCACAGGCAATTAAAGGGTCATCCTCTGACAATCTCTCTCTGCCCTGTCCCTTCTCAGATCGCCTTGAAGTGTGCTGACATTTGCAATCCTTGTAGAATCTGGGAGATGAGCAAGCAGTGGAGTGAAAGGGTCTGTGAAGAATTCTACAGGCAAGGTTAGTAGAGATCCCACAGTGACTGCATTGCCCCTTCTCCTTTTAGGCATCTCTCCTGATAAAACAGGAAATGGCTAATCTATCGTGACATTTGTTCTTCAAATTCCTATTATCCTAACCTTTCTCTTTAGCTCTCTTGCAAACCATCCAAATCTTCTGTGGAAAAAAAAAATTAACAAATAACGTTGATTTGCTATGGCAACAGGTATTAATGAGGCACCAAAAAGGAGTGAAAGTAAGATATTCATATATAAACCAATCGACACCTACATGTACACAGCTCTCCTCTGTGGATATGATAATGTGAGGAACAGTTTGATTTTTACCCTGACCTTCATTTTAATAAGCTGAGCACAGCCTAAAGGCTAAGTGCCATTTGGGGTCACTGTCTCCCCTCAAATAGGACTTCAATCCTTTGGTATGACTTTCTCTCTCTTTTTCTCAAACAAGGTTAATAATTAAATAGAACATAGCTGACCGAAAGTTGAGTTCATCCTTTCAAACACAGTTTCAACATTGAGGCAGGAGAATTTTGCTGTGAAAAGACAAGTGGCCCTGAGTTAAGCTATAATTTTGAAAAGATTACCCTCCTTCAGAAATAAGGCAACGACTTAGCAAGCAAGACCTTGCCCTTGGGTGGAAGATTGGTCTTTAAACACAGCCTTGTTTCTTCAGGCCTGGTTTCAACATCCAGGATATTTGTTCAGGCATCTCTGGTGCCCTCATGCTAGTGACAGGATCAGGTTGGAGAGGCTGAGAACAAACAAAGCTTGAAGTGTCCCACAGACCAGCTCTGTGGGGAGGTCAAATAGCAACAGTGAGCCTTTTGGAGAAGCCTCCATTGAAAGATGTGTCAATGACATTGTTGTGGCCCCAAAGACAGAAGACAAAGAAGAATTGAGTTCATGTGGGGCCAGAAGGCTCTGCTCACCACCTTTTCCTCTCAGAATAGAAGCGCTCATGAAGTCCCTACAACTGTTTAATTATACCTGAATTGAGAGTGAGAGCTGAGAAATCAAAAGCTCAGTTCTAGTTGCCCATGATATAAAATCTCCTCTCATGGCAAAGCAAAAGGAAATATGATGAAATTGGAGCAAAGAGGTTTTGTATTAGGTAGGATAAGTACTCTCTTTGCTCTGTAATATATAAACTATTGAAATAGCAGTGGGAGAAGTGCTAGGATCTTCATCTTGGAGATCGAACAATGGTGTAGAGAAAAGATTCTTCTCTGTCCCACTTGGTTTTGACTCAATCCTGTGCTACTTCTGGCATCAATTGGGGTTTAAATCTTGTTTTTGCTTATCTAGCTCTTTATTTAAATTTGTTGTGTTTTGCTTTATATTTGCCATACCAGGGATTAAACTCAGTACTGGGGATTGAGCCCACTGAGTTACATCCCCAGTCCTTTATTTTATTTTATTTTTTTTGTTTTGAGACAGGGTCTTACTATGTGGGCAAGGCTGACCTCAAACTTTCGATCCTCCTGCCTCAGTCTCCTGAGTTGCTGGGATTACAGGCATGTGCTACCAGGCCCAGCCACTTATTTAGATTTTGAGCAATTTGAGGCAAGGACCACAACACTCATGCAGATATTAAATCCCATAGAGTCAGTGAATCAAAGTTGTCAACTAAGTGGAGTAATGGCATCAATGGTAACCTAATCTTCTTGCAAAAACTTGTCCCAGTAATATATGCATGTACAGCATTATAAAAATAGAACATCTGTTACTGATTACTAAAGGTGAGTTTTCATACACTTCTCTGGCATGTCTCCTGGCAGAGGAAGGAACAGAGAAAGATTGGGTCCTTTTTACTTAATAGCTTCTGGCAGAAGTTCTACCTGTTTTGAGAATAAGACCAGATTATCTGCTCATCCCAACAGCCTGTCCTCCATACTGAATTATTTTTTTTAATTCTATAAGGATGACTTGTATCATTTTGATTGATCCTATTCTAGTTTGCAGTTTAAGATTTGGACTTAAGTCCCAATTCATCCCAGCCTGCTACCAACAGGTAGGCTTCCACAGACTACCAACAGTCCTGGACAAAGTGATTCGTAATGTCACGCAAAGGCAAACTCTTAAAATCAAAGTTTTAAGAGAAAGGGAAAGGCAAAGGAGGTACTGTGAATTCAGAAAAGTGTTAGATTCTCAGAACAGAGATCGATATTCCAAACATGATGCACCTCCCTCCCCATTCTCAATACCTTAAGAAAGTCATGTTTTGACTATGGATTGGTATCTCCTCATAAACCCAGTTTCCCAAAGCATTTTTTTAAACATATGCTCCAGCCTTGTCTAATCCTCAGCAAAAATGTGGTTTTTCTATGAACAAAGCCCCATTGGGGATGTTATTATGATTAATATAAAGAAGTGGCAACCAGTTTGATTTCTACTCTCAAAATACTAATCAGCAAAGATCCTAAAGGGGAATGACTATTAGACTTTCCTCTTTGTACACTGATTAGTAAAATGCCTGAAGCATACAAGTGCTTTGTAAATGCCTGTTGAATAAATGAGATAACAAATTATCTCATTGGAAGCCCCCTAATGATAGAGATCATAGGGGAGGACTTGGTGCTGAATGAAGTGGGGTTTGGGTTGGGAACTGAAGGGTGGGTTCAGCTCTACACTTACCAGTATGGTAGCTGTGAGGCACATGCAGCTAACTAAATTTAATTAAAATGTAACAAAGTTTAAATTTTTAGTTTCTCAGTTATATTGATCATGTTTCAAAGAGCTACCAGAGTGGGCAGTGCAGAGAACACTTTTCATCACTGAAAACATCCTACTGGATGGCACTAGACTACAGGGAAATGGAAATGGACAAAGGCACTGGGTGGGGGGAGGTGCTGCTCCTGCTTTGTGGACCAGCTCCTTCTCACAGAGGGTAAGAATGAGGGAACCACGGAGGGCCCTATCCGCTTGGCTAAAGTAGAGAACAAGAGAATGGGTACCATCTTAGAAAGGTAAACATGTATAGTTGACATGGAAGAAACACATGGGAGCCAACTAGCTAAGAAACAAAAATTAAGAATGAGTTATTGAGAGACCAGACTAGGGTTAGAGAAGAGTGAATGAAAGGGGAAAATGAGATGTTCTAAGACAGGGGGGAAAACATAGGTTGGATGCCTTGAGATGAGGGTGAGGAAGTGCTGTGCTTGACTGAAAACTCACTATTAACTAAAATGTGGAGGTGAGGAAGGGAGCTGGGATCCATGTCAACACTAAATGGTGTTCTGACTTTATTTTTGATTAATTTTGTAGCTTCAGACTGAGCTACTTCTCAAGTGAGATCTTTCTGGTCCTTCTACCCATTTCCTACCTATTTATTGTTCCCAGTTGTCTCAGGTAAAACCAATCTAATTCTAGATTACCAATGTGTTTCTTCCTCTTTATTCTTAGGTGACCTTGAACAGAAATTTGAACTGGAAATCAGTCCTCTTTGTAATCAACAGAAAGATTCAATCCCTAGTATACAGATTGGTGAGTTGAATTTCTTGTCACTTTGAAATGAGCAGTTTGGCGCCTCTGCCAGGAGTCACAAAGAAAAGATCTACATGTAGGGTTCTATAGACCAGCACTGAAGGTCTGAATGTCTGCATCCAAAAGACACTTTAATCATGACAGATCTACTAAATAATTTTCAATTATAAAAATAGGATGTTAACTTTGTTATAGACCCTTAACTCACTCAGTACTAAAGTTACAGTATTAACTTTCTGGTTTAGAATAAAATCAAAATCAAATCAAATAGAAGTAACTAGAATCTATACTCTCTTTAGGGTTTGAAGGGTGGTGAATCAGCATAATGGAATTATGGGCCCATCCACTGTGGGTCCCTATTCCTCATCCCTAACCCTCACTCCAAAGGCCCAGGCCCCTAGAGCCCTGATCCTCTGTGGCCTGGTATCCCTGTTTTCTGTACTCTGTACTTCAAAACTTATTTTCAGTCTCATTCTCTTAAAACCATACTCTCTTTTTTTAGTTTCCATTATGATAAACTATTAAAGTGCAGTCAGTGCATACAAAATAATTATTACTTTATGTAATTGTATTATGCATAAGATCATGAATTAAATTAGATGGCAGAAATTTTAGGCACTTAAGTGAAAAAAAATATTTTTGCTCCAGTAAGAATTTCTGTCACTTCTTAAAATACCCCACTAATTCCATCTACATTTAAAGTAAACCTTTCTTCTCCTTGCAGTTCCCTTCCATTGAATCCAAACATGAAATTTCAACTCTTTTCCTTGTAATCTCTGGCCCTGATTTGTAGCAGTTTATGTTTTTTTATCTGTTTCAACAGACCTCAGTTAGCTAAATGCAATCACAGGGCTGTGGATTCTGTAAAGCTCAAGGCTTAACACCGTGGCACTGGGAAGGAAGAGGGCATCTGAAAAGATCTGCTGAAAATGGAGAAAATCTGAGCAAATTAAAATGACCATCACTGTGAGTCAGATCTAATCCACAGTCCACAGAAGAGTCATGAAGTCATCCTCAGGAGATAGGAACTAAGTAAACACAGCTATTAAGATTTGAATGGAATATACAATTAATCAAATAGGCATGTTGGGATTACAAGATTAAGGATGATCCCTCTTTATCCAGATTGCCCTTAATTGTTTTATTGTTTTCACAATTAAACAGATTCCTCTCCCTAAAAATGGGAGAGAAATGATAAAAAAAAAAAAAATAGAGCCCAGGACAAATGGCAGTTCAAAATCGTTGGGGCCAGTGGAGCATTAGCAACAGAAATGTAGTCTGAGAGTTCCTGAACCCAGTTCTGTCCTAGCAGACACTTAAGCCATGGCAATTCTGCAAATTCCGTTCCTAAGCCTGATACTCACTATGTTAAACTCCAGTTTTAAAGAAATTTACCAAGCAACTGTTCTCTCTCTCTCTCTCTCTCTCTCTCTCTCTCTCTCACACACACACACACACACACACTTACTCCAAACAAAAACATTTACACTGTTAAGCACACAGCCTAGATTTGCAAGACAGCCTGATTTCAGAGACTCTGTCCTGTGGTTGTCATGAGAACACACTTACTTTGCCAGATCATATGTCCTGATTTTTAGCTCAGGAAAAGGTGGTTACCATAGATACCTCTTTTAAAAACAGGTAGGATTGAGTGAATAGGGAAATCCCGTGGATGGTATACCAGAACACCTATGATAAAGAGAAAGATCGTGATTATGATGTGGTTCTCAGATCATAAATCTTTCTCTCTCTCTGTTCCACATCATCTTGCTCTCATTGGTTCTGGGTTGGAAAGTGTAAAAAGGGTAGATGAGTCTAACCTGGAAAAACAGAGATAAACAAATAGATAAAAGATTGGTCGGTGTTGTAGGCTCCAGCCCCCACCAAAACAACAATCTTCCAGCAAGTCCTAAATAATGCAACTCTTTCCTCTGTCTAAAAATGTGCCCCCCCCACACACTCTTTTTTTTCCCTATCCCAATCCAAAATGAGAATTTCCTGACTGCAGGTCTCAGTTATGCTTAGAAAAGAATTTCTAGGTAAGTAATCTATATTGACCCAAATGGACCCCACCGGGGCTTAGTAACCCTCCCCATGTATTCATTTCTCCCCTCTCTCCACCAAATTCTGCATTTTAAAAAGAAATATTAAATCAAATTAGTGAAATCTACAGAAAGGTGAAGGAGAAGAGGTTTTCCTTCAATCCATGTCCACTCCACCTCTCCCTTCCCCCCCTGCCTTCCCTCTGGCAGGATAATGCTGCCACAAAGTCCTCTCATCCCTGGAGAAGAGAGGCTGGTACCACACACTCATGGGTCGGCTTTCAAGTCCACAGTGCAGAAGTCTTCCCTTATTTGAAAAACTGACTCAAGATGTCTATTCAGACTTTAAAATTGCTTTCCTATCTAGTGTAAGAAATATGTATTATTGGAGAAGTATAAATGCAAACATATAATTCCAGGAAAACTTCAGGGGAAAAAAATGAGTTCATTTTTTTAATATTGGATTTGTAACTCGTTATACTTAAGTAAATTTGATACTCACACTTCAAACTTTAGAATAACATCATTTTGAAAACTAGCTCTTTAGATATTGAATATTTAATTATTTTTGCAGTGAAAGACATTAGAAATTAAGGAGATTGTGAAGGAGAAAAAGAAAATAGCAAATAAAATTGGAAATCCTTATTTGCTGTCTCCCTATATAATCTTAGCAAAATGACAAACACAGACATAAAGCCACTGGCTTCACTTTCTTCCTGGGGTTCAGGTCATCTAAAATGCTTTCACAATATTTAGATCTCATTTCACATAAGATGAGATCATGCAGAAATACACAAAAATATTTTACATTGTTTCTTCCTTTTCCCATCTTTCTATCATCCTCAGAGGTCAAATCTCTGCTGTTTGGTCAACAAAAAGATGATCCAATCAAGCCTTGTACTTCACATGCCTTTAAACATACAGAGTTCATTGTGGGAAACTTTTTATTATGCTGAAAAACATTTGCCTTTTCTCCCCACACTTACATTTCAAAAAAATACATCAAAACCTAAATAAGTCCAAGTTTGTGATGATTCCAAAAATTCCTACCTGGGCTGAAAGTTATCTTTGCTTAACAAATTATGTGTAATAGGGAAAACACAAAAGCCTCAATCATTAAGAGAACGTATGTGCAACAAAGAAGTCTAATATCAAACAATCTTCTCTAGTAGTTGAAGCCATGCTCTTTTTGCAGACAAAAATCTGGATTGAAAGTGAATGAAGCCCGGCACAGTGACGCACGCCTGTAATCCCAGCAGCTCAGGAGGCTAAGCAATTAGCGAGGCCAATTTAGCGAGGCCCTAAGCAACTCAGGGAGACCTTGTCTCTAAATCTCTAAATATTTAAAGTGCTGGGGATGTGGCTCTGTGGTAAAGCCCCTCTGGGTTCAATCCCTGGTACAAAAAAAAAAAAGAAAAGAAAATGAAAACTTCATTACCCGAACTTAGTTGTTTAACATCAATGAAAACAAGACCAAACTATAGCATGATAATCTTGAAAAAATCTTATGGTATAGGGTAAACATATGAATAATCCCATCAGTGCAGTAGCCCTTCCTGATGGCCTCCCTCCCAGCACTTGTCTTTCTCCCTCCGTAAGTAAGAACAGCCAATGTTTATTGAGTTTAGTGTCTACTTTGTGCTGTGAGCATTTAAGCACTCTCCACGTGTTAAGTCACTGAATTGAATTGTGGTAACTTTGGTTGGTACTCAGCTTCTTTTCACACCAGGAAACTGAAGCACAAAGAGATTAAGCCACAGCCCAAGGAAACACATCTCCTGCTCCTATGCTGAGGGTGGTGACCATATCTCCTTGCCTGGTGCTAGTCCCGGGCCGGCCGGCACCCGCGGGTCCCCGGGTCGTGCTTATGAAGGATGTGACGGGTTGGCCTTGCCTGTTGCAGGTTTCATGACCTACATCGTGGAGCCACTGTTCCGGGAGTGGGCGCGCTTCACAGGAAACAGCTCCCTGTCGGAGAACATGCTAAGCCACCTCGCACACAACAAGGCCCAGTGGAAGAGCTTGTTGTCCAAGCAGCACAGACGCAGGGGCAGCACAGACCACGCGGGCCCTGGGACTGAGAAGGAGGAGCAGACTGTGGCGGAGGGCGACACGCCCTAGTGCCGCCTGCCCTGGTCCTGCGCCGCGGAGGACGACGCGATCCTGCGTCCCTAACCTGGGTGGCCTCGGGGCTCCCTTGATTGCCTCTTTGCTCCCACTGCCTGCCTCCCTCCTTTTTCCAAGTGTACAGAAGCCATTTTTCACCTAGCATTAGCTGCCGAAAAGAAGCAACTCCATTCAAGAAAGTGGGAGCGGATTCCAGGGGCAGTCGTCCCCCAAGGAGAAGACTGGGAGGAAGCCGTGCCTCTGCCACGTTCCCCACTGGCCCTGGGTCGCACTGTGACAGGCAGCTCCTGAGACCCGAGTATCTTAGGGTTTGCCATCTGCAGGACAAAAACACCAGCATATTTGGAACTCCAAGGATATTGGTCTTAAGTGCAAGAGCACAAATAAGAGCGTGAAAGAAAGTACCTTCTATTTTAATAATAATTATTATTATAAGAATAATAATAAATCTTTTTAACTTTTATATTTTATGCACTAGACAAGGGATCTAAAACTTTGGACTAAGATTACTCAGTGTACCCAAACTTGAACAGGGGTTCATTGTTTTGTTACTGACTTTATGCCACTTTGGGTCAGAAATTTGGCATCTTCTCAATTTAAGAAACCGCGTTTCCTATCTGATCTGGGGGAAGGTGCTGTACAGTTCATTCCTTTGCACCGTTAGCCAATCTGTCTTTTATGGATTCAGTGACCTGTTTATATTCATACATGTACATTTTCTGTAAATACCAAGCGCTACTGATTCCCATGCCAAAATACATGAGTATTATGGGATTGCTACCTGTATAAACAATGGCACTGTGAACAGAATATTGTTAGTTTTAATACATGAGAATGCATTTGTAAATATGATATAGAGTTTATTAATATACTATTGTTTGCAGATAAAGGCCTTAACTTTAAACATCTTTCATCTTCTGAAAACTGCCCAACTTAAACTGCCTGCCCATGTCCATCTTTATGCTTTCCAGCTAAGGTCACAAACCAAAACTGAATAAAGTCTTAGAGGAAACATTTTTGGAAACTTCACATGCATTCCGCTTGAGACCATAGTTTTAATCTATGGCACCAAGCATTGTTTCCTCAGACTAATGAGACCCTTCAGCAAGCCTGAAGCTACTTTTCAACGCAACAAGTTTCCACACTGTTTTAACCAACCAGCTGATAAGCTTGTGTTTATGTGACTCTTGTTATGGAATGTGGTGGTGCCGTCAGCCTCACAGGAGACATAGCAGGTCTCAAAAACCTTCTGTGGCCCTGTCATCTAACCATCAGGGAATTCCTGGCTCCCTTACCACACATTTGTCTGTTATGGCTACAGAACCAAAGTACCTTTGGTCTATGGTTAGCAAGTATTTCATTGGTGTTAATAGTAACTGGATTTTTTCTTTTTCTTTAATGTCGTGTGAACAACTAACCAAGTGTTTAGCTGAAATTAATATTATTTGAGTAAAGAAATCATTTCAGTCTCATGACAAAATTTACCTTCCTGGCATGTCATTGTAGTTAATTATGGAGCGTAGCAAGGAGAGGCACGTTGGAATTTTGTCACTGTTTTCCTCTGTATAGACTTGACTACAAAAAGCCAATAGTTACAGCATTCTTTTCTACTCTTATAAACTCTGTGCGTTGAACTTTTTTCTTTAGAAGTCCTATCATAACTGAGGTTAGTTGAAAACTCTCAACATCCCTTTCATTTTTACCCTTGAACTGTGTGGTAGTGGGAGAATGATCATTTCTGCCATGATCAAGCTGTTTCTCAAATTCAAAGAAGGACAGCAACTCTCATTTCCCAAGTGCAACTGGTTTTGTTTTTCCTTCTTTCTTTTAATATACAAATGAAATGTTAGAAGCTTGACCGGCCTGTAATAAGTCCCTATAGAAAGAAAGAGGCTTTCGGAGTTAAAGTTTGGGAGGAAATTTGAAAAGTTGGTTACATTTTCATTAAAGGAAGAGAAATTGTCAGATGGTGCTGAAGAAAGTGTGAAAATCTTATGAAATGGGTGAATGATAAGTTGCAATTACTGATATGGATAAGAAGGGAAGTTATGGAAACTTTTGTTTTCTGTAGTAACTACAAACTGACATGTGTTCCTCTCTTTAATATTTTGAAGCTCTCAGCTTGGTGAGGCTCCAAAGGAGAATATTCTGGATGGATTCCTGCTTCCAGGCCACTCTTACTTTGGTTCAGTAATGCAGAGAGCATTTTCACATAGTCGATTTAATTTTAATGTGTTTCAGATCAAATCAAGGAAAGCAGTTACTGGGCACAAGAAAGTAGAGATAGGAAAGAAGGCATTGTTTTCACTAATGGAACCTCTATCTTGAATTAGGGAAGCAGACTATTTAAATTTAAGTATTTCATTATTTAAATACATAAGATAATGAGTTTTCTTGGTAGTTCTCAGTATTTAGAGCAAAATTGTTTCTGTTACAATTGGTCCTAAAGAAAAGCTCACAGACAAAACTGCCAACATCCAATGGTGAAGCCTATGAGGTATCTACCAGTACCATAAAAATCTGAAGGTGAGACAGGATATATAAACTATATGCGTCTGTCTCTTTCATTCGACTGTGTGGAGATTTCTTGAGTTCTGGATTTGTTGGGAAAGAAAGAAAGAAAAAAAGGAAAGAAAGAAAGAAAGAGAGGGAGGGAGAAAGGAAAGAAAGAAGGAAGGAAGGAGAAAATAAAAGAAAAGAACAGGAGTATAAAAACTCTTTTATTTCCTGCTCCTGGCTTTCTTGTGATACCTCAATAGGAGTCCCATGACTGGTTGAGACATGCTATTGGGTCATCCATGGATTTTTATCTTTACAGCCTCATTCTCCTAGCCCATGGATCATCAATCGTTGACTTACCAAGTTTAATTCTGTCATTGCTTGAGAAGAAAAGATTCAAAGGGCTATTTTTAGTCAGTTAAAGGCAAAGTCACGATCAAAGTAAGAAAGAGTATACGTCACTGCCAGGCCTGAGAGTCAGAGCCTGCTTTTCCTCACTTAAGAGCAACAATGAATAGTGAGACCTGACTCACCAAACTCTGGCCTATCCATACCTCCCTGCTAGGCTAAGTAGAAACCAGCTCTGTGTCTCCCTGCTTATGGTTTCCCACAAAGAGCCTTGGCGTGCATCCTGTATCCCTGGTCTTCATATACTGCCTTCTACAAATTGCAGACTTGTTTTATAATCTTTTCTCATATTGAATCAGATGTGCTTACTGATTTGGATTTGGTTATGAGCTTGTATCTCACTGTATTTCTCATGCTTTGTTCTTTTAAGCAAATCCTTAAAATCGTGTCATTTTGTGTACACATGTAAGGTTTGAAAAAATTGTGAGTTTTGCTCAAAATGCAGCCTCAATACCCATTGGCATGTCTAGATGAACAATTAAAAATAAAGATGATTTCATAAAGTATCACAATATTAAATATACTAATTCTCACTAGATAACATGTTATCAGACCATCAGTTGGAAATATTCAAGGAAAGAACACATATGTAGACATAGTCTATGTGACTCATTCCTCTGGGGAACTGATGTCAATGAAGAAATCACTTGGCAGTTAGAGCCAAGTTAGGAAATGGGCCACCCTTCAACTCTACATTTCTCTGGAGTCCGGATATTTTTCTGATTCATGTTTCTCAAAGTCATACATGATTGGAAATAGATAGGAAAACATATAAGACTCAAAAAATTATTTTTGAAAAATACAGTCTCACATTTCAGAGTTAGAGGCCACCAAAAACACTAAAACAATTCAGGCAGGACCGCTGAGTATCCTAAATCTATCTTGAAATAGAAGACGGAAAGACAAACATCCTATATATTCTCTCATATTCATTTTATTGAGATTTGTATTCAGAATCCCACTGATTCCTGGATGCCTTCCCATGTCTGAATGCAAAGCCACCTTTTCATTCGTGGATGTTCTATATCATAACTTTGAAATCAAAAGAGAGATCCCAGTGGTATTGCAAGAAAAGGTCAGACATGACCTTCAAATACTAATGGGAAACAGCTGCTATGTCAAGTTGGCAGAATCAACTCGAAGGTAGATTTCAATTGAACAAATATTGAGGATCCACTATGTCTAGTTGTTGTGCTGGACATTGGGCTATAAAAAGAACATCAGGACTTTTTTCAAAAATTGGCATTACCAGGAAGTGCTTTTTAAAGAATTTGTGAAACTGCACAGGTTCAAATGTAGCCAGAGCTTCTTCCTAGCATTCAACATAACAGAAAGCAGATAAGCTTCCAAGACAAAAGTGGGTCCCAAATCTGGTTCTGTCACTAACTTATTCTGTGACTTGAGGGAACTTACCAAAGCCACTAAAAAATTATTTCCAGCTAATAATATCTTTTATGGAACTGTTGTGACACTTAAAAGAGATTATATACAAAAAAACATCAAACACTCTCTGGTGCATGACAGACTTTCAATAGATAAAATTTCTTTTAAATTTCAAAAAAAAAATGACAATCACTCACACATGGGTGAGAATGGGGACAATTAATGGGGAGTGTAGTAAATAAGTGCTGGTGATTTCACATTAAGAAGTAACATTCATTTTTAGAGTTGTTGACAGATTGGTTAATTTCTGTCTTTATTTGCAAGGTTGGGTCAAAAGATGATTTCTTCAATTGGTTGCTCAAGGCAGGTTCTGCCCCAGCTACAGCCTGCTTTTCTATTTAGTCCTCTGGATAAAAGTGTAAAATTATAATAAAAAAATAGAAATCAGTCACCTCACTTGTTTCTCTGCCACCAAAACCCTCATTTTTGCTGGTCCTCTACATCAATCAGATCCTGAAGATTTGCTGGACTTTACAGGGCTGGTGTCTCCCAGGATGCACTCCATTCACTTCACTCACACATTTCCAAACATATTCTCAATTACAGCTTATTGTCTGTCCTCCAGCTAAACACAAAGCAGAGCCACATCCTGTTGGAGATGGGAGATGACCATCTCCTACCTCCTTGGAAATGCAACAGACTGTCAAGTATTTGAGTAATGAACAAATAAGAAGCTTTTAGCTATAAAACAGTCTATGACAGGCTTTTTGTTTTTGATTAAGCTAGAAAGATTTTATGTTTCAGTTGATATGGTTTGAAAATGCATGCTTGCCTTGTCTTAGTTATCTAAGCAACAATATATTATTAATTTAATTGCCTGTACTGCTTCAAATTCTAGTATTGCAAGTGATGATTTAATCTCCAGTACTTTGTTTTCCCTTTTAGGGAAGCAATGGGGTAGAGTTTTTAAAAGTGTGGGCTTTGCGGTCAGATGAGAATTTCAAATTCCTCATTATCACTTGCCGTTAAACCCTAAGCATATAATTGACCCCATCTCCTCATGTATAAAATGATAGTAACACCTTCATCCTGGGGTACTGTGAGATCAAAATTAAACAGCATAAGTCAGCACAAGACAGCACAGTTTCTAGCAGAAAATGGGATTATTACAGTTTGGATCTGGAATGCCCCCCAAAGATCCATGTGTTAAAAAATGTGGTCCTCAGCTTGTCACCATTGGTAAGTGACAGAATCTTTAAGAGGTGGGGTCTAGTGGAATGAAGTTAGATCATTTGGGTTTGTGCCCTTGAACAGAATGTTGGACTCTAGCCCCTTCTTATTTCCTTCTTTCACCTCCTGGGTGCCATGAGGTGAGCTGCTTCCTTCGCCATGCACTCCTGCCATGATTCACTGCCTCTCCACAGGCCCAAAAGCAATGAAGCCAACCACCTGAATGGTTGAAACCAGCATGGACTGAAACCTTCAAAACTGTAAGCCAAATAAATCTTTCCTCTACAAATCAATTACCTCAGGTATTTTACCACAGTGACAGAAACCTAAAGTACTTAACAAATGTAATTTAAAGAAAAAAAATATCCTATACAGTGGGAGTTG